ACTGGTGGATCAAATAAGATAAAAATGAAATAAATAAATAAATCAACAACTAAAATCCATTTTGTTATAAAATTCCCCGGAACTCGGGGCAAGCTAACCTGAGTAACGCGGGGCGTTACCTAAAGGACCTAACAAGRATTTATAATATACATGGACTACTCCTCTCTTTGACAATTAGTTTTGAGATGGAATTCCATGAATATTAATATGGTATCAGAGCTTAAAACCTCAAACAAGCATCTGGTCCAAAAATGGGATTCAGGCAAGATTGATGAACCAAAAAGAGTCACTATATTGAGTTGGCATATTAAGGATCTCACATTGAAAAGATCGTAAGGGACCTAAAATGAGTTTATAATATACATGAACTACCTCTCTCATTGCCAATTGGTTTTGAAATGGAACCCATGGATATAATTAATACAAACAGTTATATTTATTATATTGCATTTGTCGATGAATGTTGCTAGTCTCGTGCCAAGTAAAACGATGGCAATATGTGTTTGATGAATGCACTGGTGAATAGGTACAAAAAACACTCTACTAATAATAAAATATATCTCGTAATTTTAATATTTGCATGGAACAGAATGTTTTTACCAATTCTCATATAAATGAGTTCATTTATTTAACCAATCAATTAGCATCAGTTAAAATTACTTTTACTGACGAAGTGAATGCTATTTTGTTGCTAACATCATTTCCTGAAAGTTGAGAAACTATGAAGACAGCGGTGTCCAATTCATTAACGGACAAAGGTCTGAAATTTAAAAAAAAAATTGTGATGCAGCAATTGCAAAGTAAATTCACAGAAAACAAACTAGAAAATAATCTACTCCTAAACAAAACCTAGCATTGACTTTCTAAAAAGGTAAATAGAAGGTAGCATCAAGCAACAGGCAGCACAACTTAATAGAAGAAACTGAAAGAAARAAGGTTAACGTTTTTACTACCACAAGAAATACCACATCAAGAAAAATAAGTAGAAAATAACTGAGAAATTTAAAGAAAGCAATAAAATAAAGAAATACAAGAATTAAAGTGGAAAAACTCCAAACCGAAGAAAAAACCACGGCCCACAAGGGAAAAACCACTATGTGAAAAATTATTACAATCACACAGATTTCTCTCTTCGACTCCAATTACACAAAACACTCTTTCAAAGCAAATACCGCTCAGTTAACTAGAGTTGGTATACCAGACTTAAAGTATTTCAATTTGGATGATTAAAACTCAAGCCCATGAGCTCTTTTTATAGTAGTTGGAACACGCCTCCTCCTTGTACTTTTCCAATGTGGAACAACTTCCAACACATGGAAACCATCCTTGTATTCTTCTAATGTGGGACAACTTCAATTCCAATATTTTGCCAAAACCCAACAAATTCCACCTTGGGCAAGATATTGAAAAAAGTTTACAATTTCTACTACACTTATTGTCTTCACTRACAATCATAATTCTCAATTCAGAGAACTATAGCCTACTCCACCATAAAAGTAGATCACTTGGAATGTCGCCTTCCAAGATTTTTTTTTCATCGTCATGGTCGATAAATCTTGCTGAGATTTATGGTACAACTTCCACCTACTTGGCTCACTTGGAAGTTCTTCAGCCATCGACATAACTTCCACCACACACACCTTGCATAACTGTCAAGCCAATGCTCATGTGTAAACTTGTGGAACTGCTAACATCACATCCTCTATCACGGTAAAGCGGACATACCATGAGGATGAATTCTCTCTCTCTTCGAAGGAACTGATAATCGTCTCCCCTGATAAGAGAAACACTGTCAGCATCCCGTCCAGAGCCCTTTGACGAATCGGTTCTGTTGGAACAATCTTTCTTCATGTTCCTAGACTGTCTGCATCCCCAGCAACAAGCTTTCTTTTGTACAGGATCTTTCTTCTTCTTCCAATTGCAAGCTACCAGTGCCAAATCTTCATGTGAAGTACGCCCTTCACTCTTCAACCTTCTTTCCTCTGACAAGAGTCTACTAGTAATCTCGGCAAAATTCAAAGTATCATTCTCATACATCAAGATTGGCTTCATGTGTTCATAAGAAGGTGGAAGTCATAAGATGAGCCTGAGTGCTTTATCTTCATCATCTATCTTCACTTCGATCGTCTCCAGCTCAAAAATGATGCTATTGAGATTACTCAGATGATCTAAACTTTTTGCACCTTCCTCCATTCGTAGCGTGTGAAACTGCTCCTTCWGGTACAACTGATTTGAGATGCCCTTTGTYTGATACAACGCTTCGAGCTTCTCCCAAAGTTCTTTGGTTGTCGAAATTCCATGCACATTCGCAAGAGTATTCTTAGCCAAACCTGTTCGTATCGCGCTTGCAGCTCTCAAATCCATTTCCTCCCAATCTTCATCACTCATGCTAGACTTCTTAGAACCTCTGCTAGAACCACTGCTGGACTCCATTGGACCTTAATCACTGCTTAGTTTTTCAGAAGCACCTTCACTCGRTCTTCCCTTCAACACCTTGTGTAACCCAGATTGTATCAGTACATCTTTTACTTGCACTTGCYACAAACCAAAGTTGATCCTTCTGTCAAATTTCTCCACGTTAGTCCTCATTGGACTCATAAAGAATGACATATCTGCTTCACACTTTTAGCGAATCTGCAAATAGTGAACAATCCACACTATTCACAGAACCGTAGCTCGATTCAAGAAATCTTTTCTGATGTGGAAGTTCAGACAATGCTACAACCACATAGCATACTCAGAAATTCTAGAAACTACAAACCTAAATCTTTGATACCACTTGATGGGAAAAAATCATCCACTTCTACCGCAGGAATAAGCAGAAAATAACTGAGAAATTTAAATAAAGCAATAAAATAAAGAAACACAAGAATTAATGTGGAAAAACTTCAAACTGGAGAAAAAACCACGACCCACAAGGGAAAAACCACTATGTGAAAAATTATTACAATCACACAGATTTCTCTCCTCGACCCCAATTACACAAAACACTCTTTCAAAGCAAATACCGGTCAGTTAACTCAAGTTGGTATACCAAGCTTAAACTATTTCAATTGGGATGATTAAAACTTAAGCTCATGAGCTYCTTTTATAGTAGTTGGAACACACCTCCTCCTTGTACTTTTCCGATATGGGACAACTTGTAACACATGGAGACCGTCCTTGTATTCTTCCAATGTGGGACAACTTCAATTCCAATATTTTGGCAAAACCCAACAAGAAAGATATAGAAAATTAAAGGATGATCTGAAAAAGTATTTGACAGAAGCAAATGTAGTTATGGATGATGCCTTCATATGTGTTGAAGGCAACACAAAATTAGGAAAGTAGTCATCAAAATAGGTAATAGACAGTACAGTTTCAATACATGTATCTTCAAACATGAGATTATTTACATATTACAAAAATGGCAATCATGCCAAAGTGCGGATAAAGAATGAAAAGCTTTTCAAGATAAGAGGGATTGAAAATATTAGATTGAACACTATCAGCGAGACGTTAGGTTTGTAYAAGTATAAGAATTAATTTTTTCTCTACATGTAAGTTGAACGATGATGGTTATCATAGTGAGTTTGGTGGAAATCAATTGAAACTCACTAAAGGATGTAAGTTGGTGGTAGTTGGCCACAAAAGTCTACAATTTATACGTCGAGATTGAGTGTTGCCAGAGGATGATTTAGGCAATGGATTAAAGCTGCAGATAGTGTCCAAAAAGGTAAGACAGAGGCAACAACAAAGACAGCTATAACAGCTTAGGCAAACCTACCATCAATTCACAAACAACAATAGGAAAGTTAAGAGAATAAAGACGGGTTCTTTAGATTGCCAATGATTAGCCCCAATTGTCAGACAGATTGGCGAGTTGATGAAGTCGCATAAGCGAATAGTTGCATCATAAAAGATAAACCTAGTAGGTGCTGAGGTAAAKAGTGGAGTCTCAATTTTGGCAGCAAACTTGGATGGAATTGTTAAGTTAACAGTAAGAAATTCTTTCTTCAAAA